CGCGCGCGCGCGCGCGCGCGCTTTTAGTCTCATTGTTTTGGATACCTGAGGGTTGCGTTCCCTGCGCCCACGCAGTAGACAATTCCATTTGTTCGCAGCCTTAAGGCTGCAGTATAGTGGGCTTCCACGTCTGTGTCAAGGTGTCTCATTTTTTGTGGCGGGYGACCAGGACGCAAAGTGGGTTCTTAGGGGGCAAAAAAAATTGGGGGACAGGTCCTTGCCGAAATTGCGGACTACCTACAGCTAGCTCTGGTAGAACCGGGACTTTTGGAAAAATGAAGGATCGGTCCTCGGATAAAAGTGGACCCCAAAAAGAAGTGGGGGGTGTTGAACCGGTCCTCAGGTAGAAGCGGGCCCCCCAAAGAAGTGAGGGGATGTGAACTGCAAAAGGGCTCTCAGGCCTAGACGTCGAGACCTGTTTTCTCAAAACAGGGAGGTCAGGAACAACGAAACAAACGTTTTGCAAGAGGAAACTTTGACGATTTTCTGTGCTCGGAAGAACCCACAGAAGAACCTGAAATTTTAAAAATTCATAGATGAGGTCGTGTTATTTCCATGAATAATATTATAACATTTTCAAAAAATCATTTCGATTGCGAAATAATCGGCGTGCCGATTCGGCACATTTTTCATTTTTGTCACTCAGCCATGTGTGGGCCAACTAAAAAAGTACTTCAAATTTCGTGAGTTTTCCCGCACAAAAGAATGCGTGAAAAAACCTGAAAATTTGAGTACTTGTAGATTTTGTTGTGATCTTTCCAAAAAAAACGCTCAATAAATTTAAAAAAATCATTCTAACTGTGAAAGAGATTGCGGCCGCAATCTCTCTCTCTCTCTCTTTATCTATCTCTCTCGCGCGCTCGCTCGCTTGCTCGGCGCTCTCTCGCTCTCTCTCTGTGGTAGGGCCCCCCCCTCCCTCTCTCTCTATCTCTCTTTCTTTCTCACTCTCACTCTCAGTCTCTCTCTCTCTTACTTATATCAACAAATGGGACAAAACTCTCTCTCTCTCTCTCTCTCTCTCTGTGGTAGACCCCCGCCCCTCCCTCTCTCTCTATCTCTCTTTCTTTTTCTCTTTCACTCACTGTCTCTCTCTCACACTCGTAATAATAGATGAAACAAAACTCTTTCTCTCTCTCTCTCTGGTAGCCCCCTCTCTCTCTATCGCTCTTTCTCTCTCTCTCTTACTCTCTGTCTCTCTCTCTCACACTTATAACAATAAAT